CACGCACACACGCACACGCACACGCACACACGCACAGGACACAGACACAGACACAGACACAGACACAGACACAGACACAGACACAGACACAGACACAGACACAGACACAGACACAGACACAGACACAGACACAGACACAGACACACAGACGCAGACACACACACAGACACAGACACAGACACATACGCATACACATACACATACACATACACATACACATACACATACACACACATAGACACACACATACACACATACACACACATACACACACACACACTCACACACACACACTCACACACACTCACATATATATATATATATATATATATATCACCCTCCCATCTCCCCCTCCTCTGCGCTGCGTCATTAGCCCTCCCCCCGCTTTCTCGTCTTTCCTTCGCGCCTACCTGCCTCCGCCTCCCTCATGCGTTTGCTCCTCCCCCCTCCCTCATTTTCAACTCTCCTTTATTCCTTCCTCCCTCCGCCGCCCTTAGCCAGAATTCTGCCCGACTGAGTGGTAGGAGGCCCAGCTTGAAAAAAATTAATCCCTCGAATAATGTTTGTTTTAAGGCTGACCCCATTGGACATGTCGAGTCCAGACGCCAAGAGCCGCAGGGAGGCCCCCGAGGCGCGCTCAAAAAGTCCCAAGACCCAAGAGACCACCAGGAGACCCGCCGAAAACGGAATAGACCCCACCCCCGAAACCCCCAAGAGCCCTCCGAGAGCGTCCCCCACGGCATCCAAAGAGACTCCCGGCATGGCTTTCCCGGGCTGCTCGAAGTTCTCGGGCGTCCCCCCCATAGGCTGCCTTGGATCCTCCACGTGGTTGTCTTGCGCGCCTTCCTGCAGCCTTCCTGGGAGCTTTCCAGAAAACAGCAGGGGGAGTCGCCCTGCGCCTATGGCGCCAAGTCGTGCTGGACGTCGCCTCAATCAGACGAGTGAGGCCCGCCATCTGTCTGGTATCGTATGCCGTGCAACATGTTAACGCCTCCCAAGAAGGCACAGTAAGACCCAAGAGATCCCCTGAGGCTGCGCCCGCTACGGTTTCGACTGAACTTGGCAGCCCTTGGATGCTTTGAGCCTCCCCATATAATTGGCCCCCAGGGTTTCCAAGGGACCTTCAAACACCTCCGAGATAGTCCGAGGGGCCCTCCAGACGCCCAGATGACCTTCAAGACCGCGACAGACGGCCCACAGGCCACAAGCCTCCCGAAGCCTCTCAAAAGTTACCTTCGGGCAACTGCTCGATGTATCTGCGCGGAGCAGCAGGATTTCTTAGGGTCTAACTAGTCAAAGACTCCTGCAGCGTCCATCAGGGAGCACGCTCCCAGATTGAGCCTTGCGGGACGATGTCCATCCTCACCCAGTCCTGGAAGTTCACTTGGACTCCGCTAGAAACCAAGCGCGAAGTTCTCGCGCGTGGTTCTAGTGAATGTCTGTGAGGAGAAAAGAGTCGATGTTGCCTGGGTGCATTATTTTACATATGGTCATGTGTGGTGTCTTCTCGGCTGCTTGGATGGAGGTATTTTGATGAAGGCGTTCACCCATTCCAGATGATGGGATGTATGAGCGAACGTATGGTTGGATAGGTGTCGGAGCAACGGACGCGAGTATTGATGTGTGCGCGTACGTTTGTAGGACAACACGTACGCTCGCCAGAGCCTAAGTGCGCGCGACGCGCGCCACGACCCCTCCAGCCCCAAGAGGTCTCAAGGCTTCCAGCAATTCCAAACCGCACACGCACCCTTGCCCTAAGCCTGAGGCCCCCTGAGTAAATCACGGGGCCTCCAGGGCTTCCCACGGGCCGCTCAAACTTGCTTCAGGGAGCACGGATGAGCGACCAGAGCGGCCCAAAGGTGCAGATGGGCAGCTCGAGCGCTTGCAAGGCGGCTCAAGACAGCAGCTACCTGGACTGGCCTTGGGGTGTCGGAGCAGAGAAGCAGCGATGTTGCATTGGTTTTTGCATGACTTTCGCATATTTGCTTGTCCGCTCCTCTGGGCGCCCACGACGGGCCAAGAGGCCCCCAAGCTCACCCCTAAACAACCGAAGCGAGTCTCAAGAGGGCCCACGCAGGGCCCACGCTGGCCCAAGAGGGGCCCAAGGCGCCTCAAGATGGTCCCACGAGGGCCCCCAGAGTGGTTCAAGACGGCCCAACAGTCCCCCCAGACGGGCGCAAGGCGTCCCAAGGGATCCAAGAGGGTCCCAAGAGGGCCCCCAAACAGCCTAAGATGGGCTCGGCGATTTCTATGTACTAACAGTCAGCTGGTCGCTCGTGGCCCCCCTCCATCCTACTGTCCAGGCTCTCCTTGCCATGATTTCTGTTTGTTCAGCAGCGGGCAGTCTTCAGCGGGTCACTCGGTATGCCACTCGCGCGCAGGTGTGTCTGCGACGGAAAGTTTTCAGCGGGCCACTCGGTATGCCACTCGCTCACGGGCGTGTCAGGCTGTTGGGCCGATTGGCAGGTGACCTCCGCCTGCAGATAGCAACGCCTCTGCTGTCTAGCGCAGCTTTGCTTTCAGGCCGTCCAGAATTGGCCGAAGAGAGCGGTCCAGGGCCACGTGAGCAGCAGAGACCAAGGTTTACCGCGCCAAGCAGAGCCGCAAGACCGTACCAGGCATTCAACAAGCTCCTTCCAAAGGCCTTTGAGATGGCCCCAAGACCGTGGTGGCGGAATTGGCCGTGAGCAGCAGCGAGGGAAGGAGGGCTTCCGAGGCACGGCGGGAGGGATGGTGGATCGAAGAAAGGGAAAGGACGACAAGGTACGGGAGGAGGAAGAAGGGGTGGAGAGGGAACGGAAGGGTTTGAGGGTAAGAGAATGTTGGACAAGCGGCGATTGGGATGTATTGCGTTGCATACGTGGAAGCAAACAGGCGGGACAATATTTGTTTAGTGTTCGAACGCTGTGTTTCTCATGACGCGCGTCTGGTTCGCACTCGCCTCTCCGATGCTGCACACTGTTTGGCATAGCCACAGCTTGCTAGAACCTGAGCGCGCGCGAAGCGCGCGCGTGGCTCTAGTAAGAACATCACTTTTGATGATTGTTCGCTTTGTTGTTATTGTGATGTTTCCTCTTCTACTTCTTCTTCTTCTTCTTCTTCTTCTTTCAGTGCGATCTCTCGCCTACTCGTCCGCGCACACGCCCTGGGCCCGGATGCGGTACGCCCCCTCTCCCCGGCCCCTCCTCTTCGGCGCGCCCGAGTGTGGGAGGCAACTTACGCCACCACCACCTCCGAGTCTCCGACGGTGTCCGCGGCCACCGCCTCAGATCAGCCACGCGCAGAGGGGAGTGGGAGGAGGGGGGAGGGCTTCTTGGAAGCACCCCTGCTTCCTAGCAGGCGCGTTCCTCATCTATAGATGCAAGGCCACCGCCTTCTAAGAAGCAGCCTCCTTCTACGAAGCCCCCCCCCCCCCCCTCCCTCCACCCCCGTGTGCGCGCCGCCAATCAGAGCCGCCCGCCGGCCTTTCGGGCCGCCCGCTCCCCCGCCGGGCCCCGACGTGGCCACGACGGGGGTCGCCGGGCGGGGTGCGCAGGAAGCGGCCGGGCGGGAGTGTCGCGAGCAGTGCGCCGGGGGCCTCCGGGGGATGGAGCTGCCCACTCCCTGCGTGTTCCCCACAGCCTGGCCTCCTGGGGGCCCTGTTTGGATGAACCATCGGTTGGAGGAGGAGGACGAGGAGGAGGAGGACGAGGAGGAGGAGGAGGAGGAGGAGGAGGAGGGAGAGGACGAGGAAGAGGAGGAGAAGGAGGAGGAGGAGGTGGAGGAGGAGGTGGAGGAGGACTTCCTCCCACTTCAACTTATGGTGGTGATGGTGGTGGTGGTGGTGGAAAACAGGCCGCCCATCATGTTTTTTTTGGGGGGGGCCCAGACCGTGTCCTTGCCAGGACCTTGCCTGGGTCGTACTCTGAACTGGACAGGACCCACTAGCCTACTGTCAGCGTGCAACGACCCCACCAGCATCTGTGGTTCCTTCCACGACCAGACGAAGGCCTCGGCAGCACCAGTTCGTTGAAGTCGGATCTTGCAAGGACTGTACCAGGATTGCCGAAAAGATCTTCATCGAGACTCCATTAAGACCATGCCAGGACAGCGTCAGGACCCTGGCAGTCATTAGGTCTGTGCCAAGGCTTTTACCAAAAATGACCCCACCAGCACTATACAAGGATCATGCCAACTGCAGTTCGTGTTACTTGAGGTAGGATCCGTTGTTGTGGTAACGTTGTGTGTTCAGCTTGTGTGTTGGCCGTATTATACGTTTGGCAATTCGACACGTGTATGGCAAACCCGCCCAATAAGGAATGGACACAGGTTTGGCGAGGCATGGGTGATCTCAACATATAAGACGGCTTGAGTATCTCGTGTCGGGTCGTCTGTCTAGCTGCCTAGCTGCCTAGCTGCCGCATCAAAGAATTTGGAAGGGTTTGTTGTAATGAGTCCTTGTCGGTAAGCAATGCCCGCCCGCTTGCGGCCCCCACGCCGAGGGCATCGTGCCCATGTCCGCGGCGGAGGTGGCGTACGCGGCCGCGACGGTGCTGACCAGTGGAGCGCCTTTTTGTCGACTCCAGTCTTGGGGACAGAGAGGAGCATGACGAGGAAGAGAAGGCGGCGTTTGTGATGGAGGCCAGACGCAGCGGGATCGCGCACGGATTAACACATAAGTAGTCCGTCGAGAGATTGGTACTTGCCCGAATGGTGAATCGGAGCCTCGTGACGCTGGCCTACTCCAGATCGGCTTGCCAGATGTGGCCTCGCTTCTGGATGGTCCGCTCTTGAGGCCCGGGCACTGGCTCGGCACCGGCGCCGAAGGCCGAGGGGTGACCCCTGATCGACCTTGAGAGAAGCAAGTTTGTATCATGGTGCCAGTGTTGAACAGCATGCTGGCGTGTCTTAGTGCATTACAGCCAATACACTGAAATATGGAACAGTTCTCGCTCGCAAGGTGATCGCTGTTCCTTAGGTCCGTTCATGGTTATTCCTCTAACGCTCCTCTTGCACCCAGGCGCTCTCGGTGCACCAACAAGGGCTTCTCGTTCCTTATCATGTTTTCCCGTTGGTAGTAGTCGCAGGTCGACTGAATGCCACTCCCGCGCAGTGCCACACTCGCTGCAGCAAGCGTTTTGTTATGGCCACAGCTCATCACACCTCGGAATTGAGGCGGTGCCTGCGGCGGGAAGGCCTGCTGCGTAGAAGCCGCAGACTGCGGGGCGGCCTGTACGTGGGGCCAGGGGGCGACTACGCGCACGCGACGAGTACAGGTGGGTGGGAGGCGGAGGAGGCACATTCGATGCGATTCGCATTCCAGGCCGCTGCCCCAGCTGCTGCCTGGTGGTAATCCCGCTGGTGCTGCTACCGCTCCTGCTGATCCCGCTGATGTAGTCCGCGACGACCACGACCACGACCGCCACCACAGTTCCGCCGATCGTCACGACCACGGCTCCGCCAGAAGTGCCCACCACGACGACCGAGAAGACGACGACAAAACCGCCGCCGCCGCCCCCGCTGTCGCCCCCCCCGCCGCCCCCGCCCCCGCCTCCGCCTCCGCCGCCCGCGACCACTCCGCTGCGGCTCGGTCGCGGGTGGGGGCTCTGGGTTGGTATGTCGCTGGGCCCTCGGCAAGGGTTGTTTGGATTGGTGCCTCGTCCAGTCCGGCTCTTAATTCAGTTGGCGCCACATGCGCGCCCCTTCATACGCTTCCGCCGGCTCTCCTGGCCAGCGATGTTGACTCCCAATCGCTGGGGTTGGACCGTCCTCCCCAGGAATCCTGCCCGGCTGCGATTGCGGCGGCAATTTTTTCGGCTGGCCTCGCTCCGCGCCTCTGCGTGGTGAGCTTCGCGCGCGGCCGGCCGGTTGCCAAGACTCTTCATTTTGATGCGGCTGGGTTTTTTTTTCAGCCTCATTGCTGAGGGGAAAGGATCCGAACTCCTACCTCTCTCACTCATCGACCACTCCGAAGAGGATCAACTGCGCCGAGGGCGTTCCTCTGTCCTGGGACGCGGCAAAGAAGGCGCAGTGCTGCCTGATTGAAAACAAGGGGTGCCCTACCACGTCCACCTCGCCGTGCCACATTGACTGCAACGCCGGCTACAACGACCTCGACCCGCTGCAGTGGGTGCGTGGATGGTCGGGCGCGAAGAAGCTCTACTGCTGCAAGAGCGACCTAGCGAGGCACCCCCAGTGCATAGGCGTTTTCCAGGGAAGAAGCCAGCAGGAGGCAGCACAGCAGCAGCAGCAGCAGCAGCAGCAGCAGCAGCAGCAGCAACAGCAGCAGCAGCAGCAGCAGGCGGCAGCGCAGCAGCAGCAGGAGGCAGCAAGGCAGCCGGAGGCAACCATGCAGGGTGCGCGGAGCGGAAGGTTCAGACCGAGAAGGCGCGCTGGGCCCGACAGTAGCGATGGGTGCGGTGGCGCAGGGAGCACCGGTGGGGCCCGCCCGAGGCAGCTTCCGCCAGCAGCTGCTGAGGCGGATCGGGCTCCGGGTGCGCCGGCCAGAGGAGGGAGCAGCTTGAGGATAGGGACGCTCAACGTTGCGGGCTGGCTCCGCAACGGACAGGCGGCGCTGCGTGCCGCTGCGGCAGAGAATCTGGACATACTGCTGCTGCAGTTAAATTTGGCCTGTCCCTCCACAGGGGGAGTGATGTGGGGTATTTTGACTCTTGTGGGGTATTTTTTGATTATTTTGATTTTCGACCAAAATCCCCCCGTAGGGCCGTAGGGGGACAGGCACGACCTAATGCTACAGGAGATGCGCTTGATGAGAGCCCACGAGGCCGCTCCGCGGCGTCGCCTCCGTGCGGCTGGCCGGAGCGGCACGCCCGGCACGGCAGCGCAGGAGAGCTGCAGGGAGGACCGCTGCCGGCAGCTGGAGAGAGACGGCCTGTGGCTCACCCGGCCAGGCTGGGAGGCCAGACGGAGCCACGAAGTATCTGCACGAGCGAAACGGGTACGGAAAGTCACCACCAACCAAACCACCCCAACCCAACCCGACGGCCTCAATTTGCCCACCATTTCCAGTGAGGGGGGGGGTCGGGGAACGTTGGAAAAACACATGGAACCCGTACCCCCCCCAACCCGAAATTCGGGTCAAATTCGGGTCTTCGGGTTGGGTTGGGGTGGTCTGGTAGGTAGTCAGAAAGAATGGGTGCAATGCCCAACAGCAGTCCCTGCTCATTTTGAGCAGGACTCGCTGTCCGCGCCGCCGCGGCCTGTGTCCAGTTGAGACAGAAGGCCGCCTGCCCAACAGCGGCCGCTGTTGGTTTGGGACAACATTTGATGTTGGGCATTGTGCCTATTTTTCCGTACCCATTTCGGGCGTCCAAAAAGTACAAAGAGGCCGGAGGCGAGGCTGTGCTGTGCACGATCCGGCGCGGAGAACAGGAATGGCGCCTCCTTCACCTCTACAGAAGGGACAGACGCAGAGGAGGAGGACACAGCGAAATTTGAGGAGTGGATAGAGGACCGCGTGGTGGAAGCTTCAGCGGACACGCCCACGCGGGAGCTTTCCTGGTCAACCTGAAGACCCATGGTAGTCTGCGAGTAGTTGCGACGACGTCGCCAACGCGCTGGGCAAGCACGAGAGTCATCGACTTCTTCGGCATCAAGGCAGATCGAGCAGCAGATGGTGCGGAGTGCACGGTCACACCACATGTGGTTGCAGGCCACAAGCTGATAGTGATGACCCTCCCTCCCGGCCATGGCCGACGCCAGAGCTGCACCAGGCGGATGGCAGTGGAGCCCGCTCCCCCAGCGGACCTTGTCGACCCGTTGTGACCAAGAGGAGACGATCTGGAAGCGGCGGCAAAACTTTGGTGCCGGCTCACCGCGGCATGGTCTGCACAGCCGTCTTGGGAGGAGTGGAGCCAGGCGGGTGAGCAGGTGCTGGACACGTTGCTGCTGCACCCTGAGCCTTGGAGGGACAGCGAGACCGACGCCGCCGCGGTCGCGCAACGGGAAGGCGGCATCAGAGGGGGAGAGGCAGGAGGAGGTAGAGGAGGAGAGGGATGCAATAGGAGAGACAGGGGGAGGAGGAGGAGGAGGAGGAGGAGGAGGAGGAGGAAGAGGAGGAGGAGGAGGAGGCAGAGGAGCAGGAGGAGGAGGGGGAGGAGGAGGGGGCGGAGAAGGAGCAGGAGGAGGGGGAGGAGGAGGAGGAGGAGGAGGAGGAGGAGGAGGAGGCGGCCACGCCAGTGCAGCACACCGGCGAGGCACCCGCGGCACCAGAGCGCAGCAGACAGACGCCGTGCAGAGGCTCTTACACCAGGAACTCGAACGCCAGAAGAAGGAGCGGATCGCCCAGTGGAGGGCTCGCCTTAAACGCCAACCACTGGGCAGGCAAGTGTACCAGTGTGTGCGAGCGCGGACGTGGAGACCCACGGATGCGGCACTGCGAGTGCCAGGCGGCCGGATCGAGACAGAGGGTAGGGCAGCTGACGCAGCGCGGAAGCACTGCCAGAAACATGTTTCAGACGCGTCCAAGGGCACGGACCCGGAGGGCTTCGCGAACCCCTTCGGGACGGAGCTCCGGCAGTGTCGCTCTGGCTGCAGGCGCGTGACAAAGGAGAGTTAGTATGGAGGGAGGCGGCGCAGGTTTCAGTGAGTTGGGACCCGCCTCGGCCCGTGCAGCTCCGGCGCCATATTCGGAAAATGGCTGGCAAGGCGCACGGCCTTGACGGATGGAGTGCCGAAGAACTCTTGGCCTTGCCTGAGGGGGCTCTATCAGTGCTGTGGCAGTTCGCGGAGCAGATGGGGCACAAGGAGGCCGTTCCAGAGGCTTTCCGGAGGTGGCGGCAGATCCACATCCCGAAGGATGACGAAGCGGTGCCGGACGTGCAGCGTCTGCGGCCGATCGCGATCTCAAGCGTCCCATGGCGGGCGTGGGCGAGGCATCGAACTGAGCAGCTGGCAGACTACCTGAAGCCCGCGTGGCCCGCCGGACATGGCGGGGAAGTGGCTGGCGCCGCCCTGGAGACGCTGGCCGGGGGTGGACAGAACCCCCAACAGTGACACGTCGATTCGTCAATTGTCCGTTTTCGGCTCTCGAGAGGGCGCCGTGGCCGTTATCTTCCAGGCTTGCGCCCGCCAGGTTTGGGCCTCAGGTCGTTTTCACGAAACCTTCTTTTTACTAAAGGGGGGTCTGTCCATCCCCGAGCTGGTCGAAGAGCGCTCACCACGGCGGTGGACGATGCTGTCTTGGCGCGTCCGGAGGCGGCCGCAGGGGCACAGCTACCAGCATGGAGCGGCGGCGGCGCAGCAGCGCGAGGAAAAGCCCCCCAGAGGGACACCAGAGGAGGAGGCAGAACCAGACGGGACGGGGAGAGGAAGAGGAGGAGGAGGAGGAGGAGGAGGAGGAGGAGGAGAAAGCAGAGGAGGAGGCGGAGGCAGAGCGCGGGGCAGCCGAGGAACGCGCTGAGGACGAGGCACTGGAGGAGCATCCGGCCGCGGAGGCAGGAGGAAATGTAGCCCAAACCCCGGCCCAGGCGGCAGCTGCGCTGGGCGCGAGGGCATGCCGCCCCTGTATGTGCGCAGCTGGGACTTTCAGACAGCGTTCGACCGGGTCCACCCCGATCTGGTTCGCATGGTGTGGCTGGAACTCGGCGTGCCCCTGCGGATCGTCGACCCCATGGCGCGAGTGTGGAAAGCGCAACAACGCAGCATATATGTGGGCGCGTATGTTGCGCCCCGCATGGTGGCAGCCCCAGCGTCGCTCCCGCAGAGGGGGCCCGTTGAGCATGATAGGCATGGCCTCACTTATGTTGCCCATGCTGTGCAATATTCAGAGGGAAGTACCTGGGGCGACCCTGTGCACCTTCGCCGACGACAGGAGCGCGGCGTCGCACTCCGCGCAGGACATCGAGGACATCGAGGCGATGTGGCGCGCGCTTGAGGAGGTCACGGCGTTGCGCGCCAATGTTTCCCAAACTCAGGATTTGGTGTTCGACAGTTCAGGCAGGCTCCCAGAGGGCAGAATCAAAGTGCTTGGCGTAAATTTACACGCACGGTCGCCAGGGCGGCGGCGGCAGCTGGCAGGAGCAGACGGCGACGCGGAAAGTCCAGAGGAGGCAATGAGGCGAGCCGCGAGGATCCGAGCCCTCCCGTTGGCTCTCGAGGACAGGAAGCTCATCGCTGGCGCAGTTACTTCAGTTACTTTGCCCAAGTACCTGTGGCGGCACTTACGCCAGGTGCCAAGACGCCAGGAGCGACGGAAGATGTTGCAGTGCATCGCGGGCAGCATCTGCAAGACGCACATTCGTGGTGGAAGTACCCACCTGACGCGCATGTTTGCGGTCGGGCGCAACCTGGAGGTGTCCTATTGGCAAGCGCGGTGCCCCCAGCAACTGCTCGCAAAGCGAGTCCGGCGCCCGAGGGAGGAAGAGGCCAGGAGGCAGCTCAGACGGACGCGGCAGCTGAGGGCGACGGCCCCAGCAGGCCCCGGCACTTTAGACGCTTTCCTGGGGATCCTCGAAGAGATGGGGGCGACAGTAACAGACGGCAGCGACGGCTGGTGCTGGGCGGCGGCAGACGCGAAGCTCACCTTGGACAGGGCCCGCGCGCGGCTGGACACCAACTTCGCGAGAAATGGAGGACAAGTATGTGGAACAACTACGTGGCCACCCTCGCGAGGAGAGACGCCGCAGAGGCCCGCAACGAGCGTGCCGCGGGCATGATGTTGCGAGGCAGCAGCCATGAGGATAAGATCTTGAGGCCGCACGTGCGGGCAATCCTGACGGGCGCAGTTTTGAGCGGCGCGCGCTACGACAAGATCGTGCGTGGCGAAGCGCCAGGCCCGTGCACGAGGTGCCCATCAAATGTGGGGTTGTGCCAGGTTTGACGCAGAGCGCCGAGGCGCCACGGCTCCGCCCACGCACTTCAGCAAGATCATGGGCTGGGCCAGCAGCCCGCTGGAGGACAAGGCCGCCCGTGTGCGACGGCAAGCGCAGGCGCAGGCCATGGCCAGGATCCGTCGGCGCATCCTCGTGGATCGCGACGGCGGGCCCACCGAGGCAGAGGCAGCAACCCAGTACTGGAGTGAGGCAGCCCTGGGCCGATGGTGCGAGGAGAAGACAGAGAAGAAGGAGGAGGCGGCGGAGAAGGAGGCGGAGGAACCAGAGGCAGCGGGAACCGCTTCACACGCGGCCGCCGAAGCTGCCGAGGAGGGCGCCGAAGCGCCTGAACCTAGGGAGGACAGGAAGAGGAAAGCAGAGGAGGTTGATGAGGTCGAGGAGGAGGAGGAGGAGGAGGAGGAGGAGGAGGTGGAGAAGGAGGAGGAGGAGGAGGCAGATCAGGAGGAGATTGAGGACGCCGCGGACGTGACAGAAAATGCAGCAGCAGCAACACCCCGGCCAAGGCCGGCCAGGAAGAGGAGGAGAGACGGGCAGAGGAGGGAGGCAGAGGCGAAGACAGAGGCAGAGGAGGGCGAGAAGGCAGCGGCAGATACAGCTGCTGCGGCCGCAGCGCGAGAGCAGGAGGCACAGCAGAGGACCGGCGCTGGCTGCTCAGCCCGGCCGGACCGGGGCCGACCGAGGCGCAGGGCCCCAGGCTGGGGCGGCCTATCCAGGCCGGCTCCGGCCGGAGCCATGCTGTGGCCGCGCTCCACTGCTGCAAGACCGCGAACAAGGGGTGCTCATCGGAGCTGCCGCCCCCGTCCGGAGCGCCGCCTTCGGGCCTGCCGCTTGGCCCCGATGACAGCGAGTACGACTGGGACGCGGGGTACCAACACTGCATGCACTGCCTGAAGCTGTCCTGCCCCCCCCCGCAAGATCGACTACTGCTGCAGGACGCAGCACAGGGGCTGCCAGGGCGAGGAGCTGGAGTGAACGCGAGGCGCGGGCCGCGGTGAGCGGCCGCGACAGGGCGACTTGAATGAGTGCTGGCAAGTGAGCCCGCCCTCGATGGTATACCGTTTTTTGCTCTTCCTAAGTGGAGCATCCGCGTCGCCAATGCATCGGCGTAGCGGTGCAATCTCAGAGCCGGGTTAGAGAGCGTGTTGTGTCCCTTGGCGATCACGGGCGTGACTGAGGGGGAGGGGGGGAGGGGGCTGGGCACGCTACGACTCGCACCGGCGCCGCCTGGAACTGCCCAGGATTGAATTCCCAGACGGCGCCGGCGCGAATCGTGACGTGACCAGGGAGCGGGTGGGGAAGGCGGGGCTGGTCACAGGCGTCATCGCGAAGAATGAGAACAATTGTTGATATCTGCATTCCCTCCGTTCGTTGTGCTTTGTTTCTTCGGAGGTTCGCGCTGTGACAAAGTTACGGGCGTGTCCCACACTGGCGGCTTGACCGCATTCTGACCGCTTCCTCGTCCTCATCCTCCTCGACCGCCCCTGCCCCCGGGGCCCGACGGCTGGCACCGAGCGCCGAGCGCGAGGAGAAACGCCAGGATTGAGACATCACATCGTCGGAGATCTGGGCCCCGGGTGGGGACGGAGGGAGGGCGCGCCCGGCGCAGACTTTGCGGCCACCACCGGGGAGCCGCTCGGCGCCAGTGCTGCCGCCCTGGCCGCCCCCGCGGTGCCGCCGCCCCGCCCGCCGCGCGGCCGGCCCTGTGCCCAGCGGGCGCCGCGCATCAACCTCACAGCCTTCCTCCTCCTCCTCCTCGTCCACCTCCTCCTCCTCCTCCTCCTCCTCCTCCTCCTCGTCCTCCTCCTCCTCCTCCCCCTTTTTCTCCTCCTCCTGCTCGTCCTGCTTGTCCTCCTCCTCCTCCTCCTCCTCCTCCTCCTCCTCCTCGTTATCCTCCTCATCCGTGTCCTCCTCTTACTCGTTCTCCTCCTCCTCCTCGTTCTCCTCCTCCTCCTCCTCGTCCTCCTCCTCCTCCTCGTCCTCCTCGTCGTACTCCTCCTCCTCCTCCTCCTCCTCCTCCTCCTCCTCGTCCTGGAGCGGTTGCCTGGCGTGAGTGGCATGCGTCCCAGACCGCCCTGTCCGAGAAAGTTCGGGTTCCTCTTCGCCTCTGACCATCGCCGTGATGGCCGCTCCACCTCAGCCTCATCCTCAACCTCATCCTGATTTGAAGTCGGGCGTGTCCCTCTACAGGAGGAACATTCGAAAAGAGCCAAAAATAGCCAGGGGACGATTTTTCGACTTCTGTGACTATTCTTGAGCATGCTCTGACTATTTTGATTTTTTCGTCCAAATTTTGCTTGTAGGGGGGACATGTTCGACCTAGTCCTGATCCTCTTGGGGGGGGCGCTGCCTGCACGCAACCCGAAGCCTTACCATTTCCTTTCCTCGTCCCTCTTCCAGTGCTCGCTTCATTACCTCCCACACATGGGCGACGTAAAAAACGGGTTCGACTGCGCCGACATTCGCGCGTAAGCTGCCCGCGTAAGGTCGCGCGTAAGCGCTCTCGTCTCCAGTGCAGCGTGCCGCGCTGGCGGCCCGCGTAAGCCGCGGCGTGAGGACGCTACGTCATCTCGCGTGAGACCCGGCTTTCCCCCGTCGCTCACAGGGCGGCGCCCGATGCGCCGTGCAAAGCCCGACGGCTGCAACCAGATCGGGCGGGGCGCCTGTTCTAGGTGGCCCGAAGGCACTCTTCCCTGCAGAACACCGCTGAGGCAGGACAGCCGCCCGGATAAAGGGCTCGGGAAGGGTACGACCATGGCCAGTGCCGTCCCCCCAGGTCTTGTGAGTTTGTCCCAACCATCCTGTGGTGTTGGGTCCTTGTTTTGAAGAGACAATGCCCCGCGTCACTCCTCCTCTCCTCTCCTCCTCTTCCTCTCCTCTCCTCTCCTCTCTTCTCCTCTCCTCTCCTCTCCTCTCCTCTCCTCTCCTCTCCTCTCCTCTCCTCTCCTCTCCTCTCCTCTCCTCTCCATGTCGGCACACACCTCACACGTTTCGTGGCCCCACAGGGAGCTCCACCGAAGGCCCCAATGGATGCGTTCGCATGCGCCCACCGCACCCATTTCGGCACACCCCTCACACGTTTCGTGGCCCAACAGGGAGCCCCACCGAAGGCCCCAGTGGCTGCGTTCGCACGCGCCCACCGCACCCATTTCGGTACACCCCTCACGCGCTTCGTGGCCCAATAGGGAGCTCCACCGAAAGCCCCAGTGGATGCGTTCGCATGCGCCCACCGCACCGATTTCGGCACACCCCTCAGACTTTTCGTGGCCCACAGGGAGCTCCATTGAAGGCCCCAGTGGCTGCGTTCACATGCGCCCACCGCACCGATGTCGGCACACCGCTCACACGTTTCGTGGCCCCACAGGGAGCCCACCGAAGGCCCCAGTGGCTGCGTTCACCGGCACACCACTCACACGTTTCGTGGCCCCACAGGGAGCTCCACCGAAGGTCCCAGTGGCTGCGTTCGCATGCGCCCACCGCACCCATTTCGGCACACCCCTCACACGTTTCGTGGCGCCACAGTGAGCCCCACCGAAGGCCCCAGTGGCTGCGTTCGCACGCGCCCACCGCACCCATTTCGGCACACCTCTCACACGTTTCGTGGCCCCACAGGGAACCCCACCGAAGGCCCCAATGGATGCGTTCGCATGCGTCCACCGCACTCATTTCGGCACACCCTCCACACGTTTCGTGGCCACACATGGAGCTCCACCGAAGGCCCCAGTGGCTGCGTTCGCAGGCGCCCATCGCACCCTTTTCGGCACACCGCTCACACGTTTCGTGGCCCCACAGGGAGCTCCACCGAAGGCCACAATGGCTGCGTTCGCATGCGCCCACCGCAGTCGTTTCGTCACACCCCTCACACGTTTCGTGGCCCCATAGGTCGCTCCACTGAAGGCCCCAGTGGTTGCGTTTGCATGCGCCCACCGCACCCATTTCGGCACACCCCTCACACGTTTCGTGGCCCCACAGGGAGCCCCACCGAAGGCCCCAGTGGATGCGTTCGCTTGCGCCCACCGCACCCATTTCGGCACACCTCTCACACGTTTCGTGGCCCCACAGGGAGCCCCACCGAAGGCCCCAGTGGCTGCGTTCGCATGCGCCACCGCACCGGGTTCGGCACACCCCTCACTCGTTACGTGGCCCCATAGGGAGCTCCCCTGAAGGCCCCAGTGGCTGCGTTCCAATGCGCCCACAGCGCCAATGTCGGCACACTCCTTGCATGTTTCGTGGCCCCACAGGGAACTCCACCGAAGGCCCCGGCACAGCCCTCATGCATTTCGTGGCCCCTTAGGGATCGCTACCGAAGAAGATACTCACACTTGCGGTACGTACAGCTGCATATGGTTGGGTCCTTCGCCAGGATGATAGTTGTTCCTCCTCTTCCTCCATCTTCCCTCTGCAGAGCAGCATTGGCTCAATGTGCATGGTCATCTTGGCCTGGTGCTCGACCGGGGGAGCTGCAGTTCTGACAGGTCGGCATGCTTCGCGGCCGCCGCCAGCATCCACCATGATGAGGTGACCGCATGCATCGGTGTCCCAATGTCTTGACTCATGCCGTCGACGCGAGCAATCCAGCCTCGCGCGGCAGCGCGCGTTAGAATTGCCCGTGCTGCTGGACGTTCGGCTCTGAGAAGGCCTGACTCTGGCAGGGGTGTGGAAGTTCGCTCCCGCTGTGGCGCCGCGGCGGGGGCCAGGCGTGCTTGGGCCGCGGGGGCGCGACCAGGCGCCCTCGTCTGAGCAGACCGGCCGACCCGTCGTGCTCGGCCAAGCACTCAGGCCAGTCTGCCTGGCAGCCGCCCGCTGCGTCGCGGAAGCTCGTGGGGCACTCGGGCGGCGGAGTGGGGCGTCACCGCCGTCGCGGCGCCTCGAGCAGTCCGCCTGATCCGGTTCGGCCTCTGCGCAGGCAGGGCGCAATGAGTCGACGCGGGCTGCTCGGCGGGGCTCCCAGCCTTGCAGGCGCTGGCCGCCTGGCACAAGCAGAGCCGCAGCCGCAATCTCCTTGGTCAGGATGTGGCATGCAATGGCGTGGCCTTCCGCCACTCGCAGTTGGCGCATCCTAGACAAAACGCGGTGGATGCGCTGAGGAGGCCGAGCAGTAGTGGGAGAGGGCTTGCGCGTGAAGCAGGCTTTCGCAGCCCATCCGCCGTTTGTCGAGGAGACGGGCCTGCGGATTGAGGCAAGCGGCTACCTACCCATAATACACGGTCAGATCTTGTCAGAGCGTGCATCGGCCATGTCATAGTTGTGTGTGTGTGATCCGCCATGAGCACCAGTCGGAACAACGAATCGCGCTGAAAACGGTGTGGCCGCGGTCTCCCACCGGGGCGCGCGGGCCCTTCGTGGCGCCACCGTCTTCAGAGCCAGCCCTGCTCCACCCGCCCCCTCCACGTGGCTAATTCACGTGCGCTGTCGTCTGGATCGGCGGGGGCCTGCGGCGTTCAGTGCATCCGCGCGGTCATTCCAGAGGTTCCCTCTCCTCTTTTGCGGATCCGCGCCGGAAGTCGGTTTACCAGGGGCAAGATCCACGAATCTCACGACCACAGAGTGGAGCAGCGATTCGGTCGCGCAGACGAAACAGAACCAGAAAGGCTGCACTCGATGGGGCCCGGCGCCCGTCTCACGAATCCATTGAAGCAGTCCCTCCGCCGAGGCCCACAGGGGATCCAGGACCGGCCCGTCGACCTCTTCCCCACTGCTGCATCGAGTCCCGCCAGCTCGCATGTACATACGACTGCCAGCGAGGACGCCCTCTGGGGGCCGTGCTGGAGGCCATTGATCGAAAGAGAGGGTGTCCTCGATTTCCCCCCCCCCGTGGAGGGGACACGTGCTTCTATTTAGCAATGTGTCCTCATGCGTTTCTCGAAGACTCCTGATCGAAAATGTTGTCCTGTTGACTCATGGCTTGAAGTTTTTCCATTGACAGCACACCGGAGTCCAATTCACATTCGATCGAAGTCCACTGAACCTCGGGTGTGCTCCAGTCTTATGGAATGTTTAAAGGCTTCTAGCCAAATCAAGCTGAAGTACTCTGAATCTGGGACCTTCTCTACATGCTGGTTGAATTCCGATCGACACTATGTTCAAATCCAATGAAAATCCTCTGAAACGGAGGTCTGCCCCATCCCCATCGAACTCATATAGGGTTCCATCTTAAATCAATGTGAAGTCCTCTGAACTTGGTCATTGCTCCAGTCCTATTGAATTCATATTCGGTTGCCTTGCTAATTCCATCGAAATCCTGTCTGATACAGGGGCTTGCTCCATTCTTTTTGAGTCCCCCTTGAATGTTTCATTCAATCCGATGGAAATCCTTTGAGCCTCGTGCCATGTTCATGGAACTCATGTTGAGTGCGTATTCGGATCCAACCCAAATCCGCTGCTTCTCGGGCCTGGTCCAATCCTGTTGGTTTCGATGTAGCTCTTTTTCCAACTCCCATGGGCATCTTCTGAACCTACGTAATGCGCAACCCCCACTGAATTCTAATGTGAATCCGGTTCACAACCAGACAAATGAGTTCGGGCACGCTGTTTCAAGAGTTGTTTGTCTCTGACAAGGATGGCAGTCGTTTCGGTCTTGCCTCTCCTGCTCATTCATTTCTTCACCCCACTATGGCCACTAACACCACTGATACGACTTCCAGCACCCACACTAACACTACGACGACGAC